CTAGCTATACAGAGGCTCTAATGGGAAATGCCTGTCTTGCTTGTCAAGGGAAAAGCTCATTTTAAAAGGTGGATCATGTAACGGCTAAGTGGTGCAGCCCGAGCAGCTGAGTAGACTATTGACCGATACACCCCTGTGTTAAGTTGTACGTCACCACTTCATTCAACATTGTCTCTTGTCAATTTGCGCTACTGAATCCACTACAAATATATATATATATATATATATATATACATGCAATTAAATATTTTTTTTTTTCTGAGAACCAATTTGTGGAGTTTGGTTGTAATTCAACCTGTGGTAAGAAAAGTGCTTTAAAACATCTTAATTTGGTTACAGATTGGCATTAAAAGTTTGATGTTCTTTGGACTGCTATTCCTTCTCCCGATTGCTAGTGTTTTTTTGGCTTAGCTGAGCGTAGACGTTGAATGTAAATTATTTGATGAGCAAATAATGAATAAAGTGGGATAACACTTCTTCGCAGCTCAAGCCTGGAAGGCCTTTGCTGTTAACTCTGGAGTCATTTTGAATATTTTTAGTGGTCAATTTTTTTTTTAATCCAAGTGAACCAAAAGGTGGGAAAGACTTCCTTTGCAATATTCAGCACCTGAACAAACCTTTTGCTAAGAAATCGTGTCCTTGTGTCCTCGGAGTAAAGCAAAAGTCAAGGTGGCAGCCGTAACCAGAGCAAAGTTAGGCCGATTTTTAGTTGAACACAACTTTAAACACACGGTTGCAGATGTAATCTTGAATGTTTTGTCCACACCTGCGGATACCACTTCTTTCTTTAAGCATTCTCCGAAGGTGTGTTCATGTTAAAATGGCAAAACAATGCGGGAGGCTTAAAAGAACAAGTTGGCTTTGGATTCAGAAGTGTCCCACCCATACGGTATTTATTTCCCCCGATTCTCCAAGAAAATAAGCTGAGCTCTAAGATTACAGGAAGTTCTCAGAACTGTTAAAAATAATTTAAATCCAGCAATGATTGAGAACCATAGCCTTTTTTCCCCCTTTATTGTTTTGGTTAATGGAGGAAACAAGATAACAGAGTTCATTTATTTGTTAATCTTTTACAGTAGAAACTATGCCTTCAGAACAACCCTCAAATGTTAAAGCGGGTACTTAGGGGTGCATTTTATCCTGGGTTTTTGCATCTCCAAAGGGCAGCAAGGATTGTAGCCTTAAAACTCAAGAGAAATAAAAAGCAGGCATGTAACCAACACACTTGTTACTAACCTGTGCAAAAGGCTGAATGGGAAGGGCTGGAAAGGAGAGCAAGTGAATCGAGAGAACGGGGGAGTATATTCCCACGCCGCATCAGCTGATCTCATTTCCCCTCGTGCACGGGCATTCTGATGTGCAAGACTCCTTCCTTCTTATAAAAAGTGGCTGATGTTGCTTCTTCGTCCACAGACGCTGGAAGATCCACCCGCAGTCTGTATTTTTCAAGGCACTCAACCAAGACATCATCCTGAAAAGAAGATGCAGGGAAGCACCTGAGATTCACAGGAATCTGCCTGGCAAAAGCCGGGGGGAGAAGGGAGCGAATAATACGCCATCTGTAGCTGCCCCTCACCTTAGACACGCTCAAATTACACTCGGACACACCGCAAACACCTGGCAGTTCAATCTTCAGCTCCACTTCTAAGGGTTTATCGTCTGCATCTTTCTTGGTGGTCATTTGGTAGGCAGGCTTAAGCCCCTCTGGCTTGTTTGTAGTGGAAATCTCTTCAATTAGACGCTTTTTGGAAGCTGCGGGGTTCTTTGCTGGTGGTAGAATAAGGCCACTGCTGTCTTTGGCCCTGAGGTTTCTCAGCTGGCTGAGGGTCACTTCTTGCCAAGAAGATTTTCAGACAGAAGAGTTTAGACAAGTAAGTAGAGTGCATTGCTACAGAACAAAAGCATCAGTTAACTTGCAACGGCACTTAGTAGATCACTTCACAGTGCCAAGTGGCGATGTTTTATAGATATTTTTATAGGTGTTTGTATTTTTTTTACATTTCTATACCACCCTCTCATAAGGAGATAACTAGAAACAAATTCAGGAAATAAAAATATTTCCCAATATTAATTGTCAGGCAGTTTTAAAAGGATGTTTTTCAATGCCTTATGAAAAGCTGGTGCAAAATACCTCTAGGAAGCAGCATATTCCTATAGTGGGGGCCCATGTCCCTCTTCTTCAGGGGATAAAATCCTCAGACGGTTCCCTTTAAAATATATAAAATGGGCGGGATAAGCCTTCCTCCCCGTCTTGAATGCTACTTGCCTTTGTTGGGATTCCTCTGGGACGCAGCCAAGGGGGGCTGTTCTCTTCTCAGGCTCTGCCTCATCCTTTCAAGGCTTCCTTTCAATTTAAATTTTGCCACGCTCCAGGATTGGGACAAAGTGACGTTGAAATGCTCCTCGGCGTACTTGAGTAACATGCGGATCAACAGATCCTTCTCCGGTGGGTTATCCTTGACTCGCTCAAGAACGGATGGACTGTATGCCACGTCAAGGATGCTGCAGATCTCTGCAAGAAAAGGAAACACAGTTTATTCTGCCCTCAAATGTATCCTGGCTTGAGTTTACCACTCGACCAGCTGAATCATGTATGTTTCATTCCTGATATCCTATTGCTATCCATGCCCAATATGTTTTTGAAGGGACAAAGCAATATAATTCCTCAAATCATTTTGTAGAAGTTACTGCAGTAGGCTCAGGTTACCTGAGATTTTGTAATGGGGATTACCTGAATTATCTGATAGCGTCTCCATTTTGCCAGCGCTCAACAGAATTGGCTCCGAGGGTGACTTGGGAGCTGGGATCCTACTCCAACTGCACAGATTTATGAACAGGCAGGTTTTGGTAGGTTCCTATGAGGAAAGCACAAAACAAAATAAAATAACCTTAAAACCATTACATGATTTATTAAAAGAGACACGTTCATTTAATTAACAATCGGATATTCACTTCAAGCAATCTCTCTTCTACTGCTCTTTTTGACTGAAAAGATGATGGTGCATCTGGAATATTTTCACTGTCTTATCAATGCCTGATGCAAACAAAGAGGGCACTTATCAAATGCACTTATCAAATGTACACCCCCTGTGTTATTTTCAAGTCAAAAGAAGTCTATGGAAATTCTCAGTCCTCCAGGTCACAGTTGTCCCAAAAGTGCTTTTTTCAGGAGGCAACTGGACTTTCTGGTTTTTCTTTGAAGAAGTTTCGCTTCTCATCCAAGAAGATTCTTCAGCTCCGACTGGATGGTGGAGAAGGGAAAGATCTAAAAGGATGCAAATGACCAGCTGTCTGCAAGGAATATAAATCCTTCCATTCCCTTCCATCTAGTCCAGGGGTCCTCAAACTTGGCAATTTACTTGTGGACTTCAACTCCCAGAATTCTCCAGCCATCAAAGCTGGCTGGAGAATTCTGGGAGTTGAAGTCCACAAGTCTTAAAGTTACCAAGTGTAGAGACCTCTGATCTAGTCAGAGCTGAAGAAGTTTCTTGGATGAGAAGCTAAATGTCTTTTTTAAAAAACCCCAGAAAATCAATTTGCCCCTTGAATAAGCACCTTTGGGACAAGTCAAAGGAAGGTTTGGCATTCTGCTAAGAGGAGAAACAGTATTTGGCTCTTTGTTTCTTTGCTGTTGCTCTACTGAATGTTGTCATACCAAAATGCAGGTCTTCAGGCACAGACATGGCTCCGGGGGAGCATAATGCTGCTTTGCTTCCTTGAGTTGCTGTTGCATGAAGTGGCAATAACTTTTAGGGTTGTTCTCGGCCATGTCATCCAGCATCGTCCACAGCTGAGTTGCTTTGGTCAGCATCTCCTCGGAGCTGCACAGACCTTCCATGGCTGTTCCTCAGTGGCAAAAGGATCCTTCTGCCGTCCCAGACAAGTGAAACTATTTCAATCCGAAGGTCTTCGGTGATGCTGCAGGACCACTCTGGCTGGTATTAAACCTTAACTGGATAAAGAGAAAAACAGATGTCTTTTCAGAAGTTTGAACCTAGAAAGGCTTTCTTCATTAGCTCCTAACATCACGAATGAGTTTGGCTAGTCCGGTTGTGTTGTTCTGGCAAGCTGCCTAGTCGAGTTAAAAACCCAGCTGGATTGTACAGAAATGGCAGCTTTATTTTTCCCCTCGGACTCTACTATACGTGGTACTACCCGTAGTAAGAATGTCATGAAATAAAACACAAACACCACCACTGATCCTCTGAAAGGCAACCGTGATGGAAAAAGTGATCGAGGCCAGTCAGATACAGCAGAATCCACTCGATTTGTCTCCAAAGGGGCAGCGATGGAGGGTCTCTGCTGACGGGCTGGGGGCTGTCCTCTTTCCCATCCAGCCAAGGTGCAATGGGACAATTTTTTTGGGGGTGGGGGCAATGCTTTTCAGTCTTGGCACCTTTAGGAGGGGCAAAACTTCCAACTTTGGGGGGTTCTGGGCATTGAGGTCCAGCCCTCTTAAAGGTGCCAAGGTGACCCGGAGCTTTGGAAGGCTTCCCTTGAGCATCATTCGGGGCTCCAGGTCTGGTGCCCCCCCACTTGCCAGGGCTTTGTGCAGCCCCCGCCCCCTCCTGGCAGGGATGCGCCCGCGGGCCGCCTGTTGAAAAAGGAAAGGCGGAAACGGAAAGAAGCCCCGACTGGATGGTCTCTTTGGAGCCCTTTTCTCTGGCGGCCCCTGGGAGGCAAAGGGGACGTGAGACCCCCACGGAGGACCCTCCATGCCCTCGCCCCAGCAGGATGGGGTTGCCCTCCCAAGGTCTCGGCCCTGGAAGCGAAGGCCCACGAGCGGGGGGGGGGACGGACTTCCAACCCCATCATCCTCAGCCGAAGGTGCGGCAGGTGCAACGAACCCCACATTACCGGCGGGGCGCCCGGGTTAGAGCAACACGATGGAACCCCACCCCTTGGTCGCCGTTGCCAGGCGGCCGCCGGTCGTCATGGCAACCCCCGGAAGCGGCCCTGCCGGAAGTGGCTCCGTGGCCTTCCGCCGGCCGGCTCGCTCGCTCGGCCGCGCTCGCGGGTTCCGGGCTAGCCACGGTGGCGGAGGGAAGCCAGGCCAGGCGCGCTCCCGTCCCGGGTCCGGCGCGGAGGGCGAGGGAAGTGGCGGCGGCGGCGGCCAGGCGGGGACGGAGAGGCGGCCCCCGTCCCCCCTCGGGTGTCCCGCCCGCCAACCCTGCGAGGTAGGTCAGAGCCGAAGCCCCCAAGGCCGGCTCCGTCGCGCGGCGGCCCGCCAGGCTGGCCGGGGGTCGAGGCGCCGAACCGGTCAGGGGGTCCCTCGGCTGGGCCTGCCCGCCTTTCCCTTCCTTTGTTTTGCTTTCTTTCCTCCCTTTTTCTCTTCTTTTTTCCTTCTTCCCTCCTTTTCCCTCCTTTTCCTTTCTTCCTGTCCTTCCTTTCCTCCGCCCTCCTTTCCTCTCCTTTCTCTTCCCCATTCCTTCCTTTCTTCTCTCCTTCTTTCCTTCTTTCTGCCCTTCCCCTTCCTTCCTTCCTGGCCTTCTTCCTCTTCTCCATTCCTTCCTTTCCCTTCTCCCTCTTTCCTTCCTTTCCCTTCTTTTCCTGGCTTCCTGTCCTTCCTGTTTCTTCCCTGTACTTTATTTATTTTACTTTATTTATTTTTTATTTTATTTATTTTGATTTGTCAATCACTTACAAGATAATAGGTATAAGTATATACATAGTTATGAATACTTGAAATGGGTACATGTAAGAAAAATAAAATAAACAACAGAACAGGGATGGTAGGCACCTTGGTGCGCTTATGCACACCTTCCTTTCCTCCTCCTTTCCTTCCTTATCGTTTCCTTGCTTCCTTCCCTCTCCTACCTCCTCTCCTCTCCTTCCTCCCTCACCTCCCACTTTCCTTCCTTCCAGGGCATTTTTTTGGCCACCTGGTTGGTGTGGAAAAGATGTCCCGCGTCCCTTTGGGAAAAGTCCTTTTGCGGAATGTCATTCGCCACACAGACGCCCACAACAAGGTAAGGGGCCGGTTTCCTCCCCAGGGGTCCTGTACGCAGAGCAGCCTGGCTTCCACCTTTCCCCAGTGGCTTTATATATTTATTTATTCGTTTTGTTGCCTGTCTCAGATTCAGGAAGAGTCTGAAATGTGGAAAATACGCGAGATGGAGAAGCAGAGCCAAGAGATACACTGGGGCAAACAGGAGAGGACTCTTCTGGACAGCTCCAGGTGGGATTTCAACAAAGCCCCGTTGCTCCCAAACAGCTGGCAAGGCCTGCCTGCACCCTCTTCTTGCTTGGGTCTTCTCTGCGTTTGCTTCCTTTTGTGAGAGGCTGAAGGCTCAGCATAGGCTCACTTTGAATGTGCACTAATCGGCATGCATTAACAATTGAAATTCCGTTGCATGCAGCTCTTCCAAGGGTTTCCACCTCTTGGCCCTGCCTTGCGGTCCAAGCTAATTGGCCTGCTTGCTTTGTCCCCGAAAACAGAAGCGAGTCCGGCCATTTCAGCCCTCAAGCCTTAGTGAAACAGGGGAAAGGTAGAACTCCTCTTTTCCTAAAGACGGTATCTTTTAGAAAACAGTAGAGCTGCCTGCGGGTCAAAAGGTGGCAGTCCTGCCTTAAGGGAAGAATGCCAAAGTTTAGGGAGAAGGTTTTTAGTTCAGCCAAAGTGGTGAAACTGGTCCCTTGGCTTATGCAGCTGGGTAGCCTGCCGGATCACTGGGCGGGGGCTGGGGAGGTCAGTGTGGTGGATCTTGTTTCCGACTCCTCTGGCTGGAGCAGCTTTCCTCGCAAAGCTCACCAGCCCATCTCCCTTGGTCTCTGCAGCAGCCGGATGCGTAGCGATGGCTTTGATGAGGACAGCCAGCAGGCCTCCTGGAGGACGAGGAACATGCCGGTTATGGCAGTGACCCTTGAAGATGACCTTCGACACGCCCGCTATTGGAACAAGAAGCTCTACGAATGCGAAGCTAACATGCCTGACAGGTATGACTGTCCCATAAGTGGGAGGTTTGCAATTTAAAACCCTCATGGCTATCATTAAGTGTTGTACCTGATGATTCTTGACGAATGTATCTTTTCTTTTGTGTGCACTGAGAGCATTTGCACCAAGACGGATTCCTTGTGTGTCCAATCACACTTGGCCAATAAAAAGAGTTCTTAAAAAAAAAAAGCAGGCCTTTCTTCCAGTGACTTTTCTGCATGAAGAGGCTCTGTGTAATTTTCACATGCTTATTCCCTTTTTTTTTTTTTTTTACAGATGGGGTCACAGTGGCTACAAGGAGCTGTATCCAGAAGAATTTGATACAGACAGGTAAAAGCTTTAAAATACCAAAATCCTAAATGGTTTCCTTTGGACATTAGAATAGTTCAGGCTTTAGATTCATGCATTCTGCCTCCTCTTTACACGGTACCATCAAAAAGTTTTGCTCCTATACCAAATATAATTTCCCCACTGCATTCTGGAGGAAAATTGGTTAGTTCCATTGATCCAACCTCTGGTTTATGGTTTTCACTAATTTAAATTTCTACATAGAGCAGCACGTGAGTTCATGGACATTTTCTTATCCAGGCAAAGCCTCGCTGAACCGTCTCTTTGATTACTAGGATAGCTTAAAAAATGCACGACAAATGGCTTGTCAAAGTTTACTTCACGTCATTTCATCCAATAGGGTCCCCAGTTTTGAGAAACTGAACTGAAAGAAATGTCACCATGAAATGTTAATCGGGCTTAAACATTTGCAGTCCTGGCTCCACTAAAATATTAGGAAAGTTGTTTTTTTTTTAAAAAAAAAAACACAATTGTTGCTTTTGGTCAGTTTTTTTTTTTAAACTTTTTCAGAGAAGGATCCCAGAAGTGAAACCCATCCTGGTTGTCATGCCCCTGTTGGAGTCTGACTCTGAGGGAGAGATGGAACAGCTGACAGGGAGTGGGAGTGTGGCTCCGGTGGTTATGGAGGAAACTGGGGAAGGGCACAGGCCAGATGGGCATTCAGAGGAAGGCCCAGGCCCACCCCCTCTTCATCCTAGGGCATGCAGGGAGGAGAGGATAAGGGAGAAACGTGCGTGGCATGGTCTACGGGGGAGGAAGGGGCCCTGATCCCCTTCATGAACTGCAGCTGTGAGGACTTAAGGACAAACTGCGCATGGCCCAGTGCTGGAAGCAAAGCGTGTATTATTCTTGTCAGAGCTTATCTGTGTTTTGACTTCCTCCCAACTGTGGTTGCTGTGTTATCTGGTAGAAGTCTGCAATTAATCATCCTTGGCTGCTGTAGTAATTCCTTCAGTGTGGTTTGTGTTGGGTTTTTTATTTCAAATTAACTTTACTTTGGGTGCAGACTGCATTTACTCCCTCTGCAAACTCTTTTCTTTAAGAGTTTGATTTCCAGCCGAGGATAATTGGACATTGGGGCCAAGCTGGAGGCATTAAAGGGACTTTATTCTACTTTTGTGACTTGGTTATTTTTGTGTCACGCCCCGGGTCATCACACTGGTTGTGTTTTGCAGTGACCGGGAACCCGACCGAGAACAAAACTCCGTGAACGGCAAAAGAAAATCCCAGTCGGGCAAGCCAAGCTCCGCGAAGCTGCACAAAAGGAAGAAGGCCAAGAAGTCGCACAAGAAGAAGCAGAAGAAGAAATCTCACAAGAAGAAGAAGAAGAAGAAACGCGAGGCGGGGGCGGCATCTTCCCAGGAGTCCGAGGGCTCGGAGGGGGAGCCCCCCAAGAGGAACAAGAAGAAGCGCCACAAGAAGGACAAGCGGGCCCCAGAGGGGCCTCCCGCCTCGTCCTCAGATCCAGGCAGCGGCTCCAGCAAAGCCGGCAGCTGCCTCTCCAGCCGCTCTGGGGACAGTGACTCAGAGGAGCCGGCCAGGAAGAGGCGGAAACGCCAGGCGTCCCTGTCCGAAAGAGCCGGAGACAGGGCGCCGGAGAAGCGCAGCAAGAGGAACTGGAAAGTAGCGGCTGACGAGAACTCCGAGGACAGCTCAGAGGAGGATTAGAACCCGGCTCCAGGACAGCGCTTCCTCTCCCCACCTCCCCCCAAAGGCCCAGCTCTGCTTGGAACAAACTTGGATTTGGTTCCGCTGGCAGGGGCAGGGGGCGGTGCGAGTTTCCCTTGGACCAGAGAGGAAAACAAAAGGCTTGGATTCCTTTGGCCTGGCTTGGGATTCTAGCTGGACAGTCCCTTTTGTTCCCCATCAGGATGGACCTTCCAATTTCTAATTTCTACTCTCAAAGGCAGCCGGAACACTGGGTGGTTTAGTCCCCCGCTTTGCCTTTGACAAAAATCACCTGGAGTTTTAATTTTTAATTGCCCAAGACTTGCAGATGGGTTGCAATTAAAAGCACGAGGGAGAGAAGGGTGGTGGTGCTCCCCAAGCAGGTAGGCAGGCCTCGCTCTCCACTTTGAACCGTGTCCTCAACTGTAGAGGTAAGGGGGCAAAGGCTGGCTCAGAATAAACCCAAACAGACCCCACCGCAGCCTCAGGGTCGACTAAGTAGTCACCTTGTGAAGAAGCGCCTCTCCATACCCGGAAGAATGCAGGTCATCCTATCCATTCACGTGCCGTTGGGGGACTAGATCTCGTTTCGGCTGGCTGAGTCCTCTTCTTAAATTACCTCTTGCTGCCAGAAATTCCAGAGAAAACGCAGCGAGCCCTCGGCTTCTTGTAGCCATTAATAGGGTGAGCAACAAGAGAGGACCCATCTTTGTGTACGGTGCCTAATTAAGAGCCACGTTAAGGGTGGGATTTTGTTTGTTTTTGATAAAACTATCCGTGGCTTTCTAATGCCAGTTTTAAGTAGCTGTGGATGGAGGACTCACAAAAGAACATTCCCAGGAAAGAGCCCAAATCACACCTGTCTCCTACCTCCCCAGACAACTGCAGTTCTGCAAGAGAGACTGAAATATGAGGGAAGCCTTGAGATTAACAAAACAGATTTTGCTAAATATGCCTTTACTCATCAAAAATATACTGAGCAGATTTGTTGAACCTAACACCTAGCAGTTCTCTATTGCTGGCCATCCCCCTTCACCAAGTTTTGGAAAATACTCACTTCAGCCTTCTGCCAGTTTTGTATTTAACACCGTTTTTCCTCCCCTGGTCTCCCCGCACAACGGTCTAACATAAAACGTCTGGAATGAATGACCCTGTTCTAAAATGTAGAATAATAAGCTGGGCTTTTTTTTTCTCGTCCTTTGTGTACAGGGATATAAAAAGTATTTTTGGAAATAATTGTTGCTATGAGAAGCAAAGCCATTGAAATTATTTCTATGAAAAAATAATATTTTTATACATACAAAACACTGGCATGAGTTGATTTAAATGGTCTGCAGAAATAAACAGTGTTGACTTTAGCCAAAAATCAGGCCGCCTTTGACTGCATTTCTGATTTGTGGGAGCAAAGGTTCTTGGGTTACACTTGAAGTGTGTCTGGCATAGAAAAAGACAAATCTAAGCGGATAAGAAATTCCACAGAGAGGCAAAGTTGGATTATTTTTTTCTATTTTTACTTTTCCAAAAGAGAGCATTTGGCTTGCTACTCTGAGTGAAAACAGCAGGTTCCTCTGTGCAGCTTTCTAGGCCAAAGTGCTGTTGTCTAGTCTGTTGTGTGGATTTAGTTTGTGTGGTTAGTTGATGGTGCATTGTGCAAAGCCAGACAACCAGATTTATTGAAGAAACCATTTTTCATTTAATGATGGATATTTTGTACAAACACCGCCGTATTTGGATAAAATAAATGTTTGATTGATCTCCCAGTAAAGGAGAATAAATTACATTTTTCTCGTACAGATATTAACGGCAGCTTCGGATCCAGCCAAATTGCTCTATGCACAGCATTACTGGACGGAATCTTTACACCCCCTTGTGAAGAAACGGAACTATTGCACTCCTTTAATTGGAAAAGTGAGCATGTTTAACACCATCTGGGTGCCTTCACTCCTATTCTCCTGCCCGGGCAGGAAAGTAGCGCAGCGCCGTCACAGTGAGTCCACTTTTGCTGATTGAGTCGGGCATTTCCTCCACCAAGCCCCCTTCCTTGGCCGCCTTTGGAAGGGCCCCCACCCCAGAGCTTGCTGGGGGCCCTGGTCAGTGGCCGCCCTTCTGCATGAGCTGTGCAAAGCGGTTGGTGACGGACAAGGTGGTGTCGATGAAGCGGTTGACGCAGTTGGCCAGGCAGGTCTCTGTCCGGGAGTCGAGCTTGGAGCCGGGCTTGTCCACGCACTTCTCCCAGCAGGCCTCCATGAAGGTGTGGACCTGGAAGGGGGGAGCCAAGCAAGGGGGGGCTCAGCCCCCAAGCCCTCCTGTCTTCCCACCCTTCCTCAAGCCCCCCCCAAGTTTGCCTGCCCGCTCCAGTCGTCGTGACCCCTCCCCCATTCTGGCCCCAGTCTCCTTCCCGTTCTCCCATTCTAGCCCCCCCATACCCGCCTGCCCCTCCCCTATTCTGCCCCCCCATATTGCTCCCCCAGGCCCTCCTGCCCCTCCCCAATTCTGGCCCCAGTCTCCCCCTCTCCCTTTCTAGCCCCCCCATACCTGCCTGCCCCTCCCCTATTCTGCCCCCCCAGGCCCTCCTGCTCCTCCCCCTTTCTGGCCCCAGTCTCCTTCCCCCTCTCCCATTCTAGCCCCCCCATACCCGCCTGCCCCTCCCCCATATTGCCCCCCCAGGCCCTCCTGCCCCTCCCCCATTCTGGCCCCAGTCTCCTTCCCCCTCTCCCATTCTAGCCCCCCCATACCCGCCTGCCCCTCCCCCATATTGCCCCCCCAGGACCTCTTGCCCCTCCCCCGTTCTTGTCCCCCCCCAGGCCTCCTGTCCCTTCCCCCCTCCTGCTCCCCTCCCCCTTCTGGGCCTCCCTCCCGCCCCAGGGAGGAGAAACGGGAGAAGGGTCTCTCTGCCGGCCGGCCCCTCCTCCTCCTCCTCCCCGGCGCACCTGGGCCGTGAGGCGCGCCCGCTGCTCCTCGGCCGCCACCATCCGCTGCAGCTCCGCCACCTCGGCCTCTTGGCCCAGCTCGGCCGCCATGAGGAGAAGAGGCGAAGAGCCCTCGGCCGGAAGTCCCGCCTCCTCGGCCTCCGCTTCCGGCCGGTGCCCTTGCGCGGCGGGGGCAAGATGGCGGCGGCGCTGCGGCTGTGGCGGGCCGGGCTGGGCGGCCGTCCGGCGTCCGGTGAGTGGGGGATTCGCCCGAGGCCTCCTTTCCGAGGGAGTCCGCACGGGGCCCGGACTCCCGGTCGGAAGGGCCCCCTGGGTCGCCGCTGCCTTTGCCCGCTTCCCTTCCTTCGCGGCTGTCCTCCCGGCTGGGAAGCGCAGCGTCGCCCTTGAGCGGAGACACGCGTCCGGCGGCACGTGTGAATGGCTGCACGGGCCTTCCCCGTTTTAAATTTAAGCCCCGCTCCCCCGGGGAAGCCTCTGAAACCCTTGGCAGGCGCCTTGCCTTGCCCAAAGTGGGGAGGATGGACGTAGGGATGGGCGGGAGCGCTGGGACACCCGGGGGATTCGCCCTCGGTGCAGAAGCTCTCAGGGCGGACACAACAGCCCAGCGGATGGGCGTCACGCATCCTCAGTCATACCCGCAATCTTTAACCGCATAAGATAACGGGAGATAAATCAGAAGGTGCCAATAGGAGAAGACAGCAGGAAAGAATGCCAGGAATCTGCCGGAAGTTTCTCTCGTGTGTGTAGACAGACAGACAGACAGACACACAGACACAGGGAATCCATAGGGTGGGGGCAGAGAGAGACCACCTTGGCAAACAAAATCTTAGGTGCACTTTCCCATCAATTAACAATGTGTGAAGAGGCCTACTCTGTGGGGTTGCAATGCTCCCAGCATCACTAAAAAACTGGAATTTGATGGATAGCGCTGTAGAGAACAACTAGACACAAGGAGAGTTTTTTCCTCGAAAGTCACCATCGCTCTGCTAAACAAAGGATTCCCTCAACACTGTCCAACTATTTACAAAGTCTGCCCTGCTATTACTATTAATCTACTCATCACTCCTTATCACCCATCCCTTCCCACTTGTGACTGTATGACTAACTGTGTCTCTTGTATCCTTATGATTTATATTGACTTTCCTAGTATGATTTGATTGCTTATTGTACCCTTTGACTATTATTAAGTGATGATTCTTGACGAATGTATCTTTTCTTTTATGTACACTGAGAGCATTGGCACCAAAGCCAAATTCCTTGTGTGTCCATTGTGATTGTGTGTTTTCATAATGTGTAATAGGCATTAGTGGGATCTGGAGATCAAAATGGCCTTATTTACAAAATGAGATACCTCTGTTCTGCTTGCAGTTGTCTTGCACAAGTATCTCTTGGCTAGACCAGTGGCTGCCTTGTTTAGACCAATTGAGGACTTTCATCATCGTCGTCATCATCATCAGATGCGCAAATTTCACACATCTCCCAGGAGTTTGGGTAAGGTCTGGGTTTGGGTAGTTCCTTTTCGTGCGTGTCATGCTTAGTCTCATGATTCGTTGACGCCTGTCTCAGAGGGTGGGAAAAGAAAGAGGAACTTTCTAAAACAACGTCATTGTTCTTTTCTGAACAATTTCCCTGAAGGTTATGGATTCCAATCAATTCAATGAAAAAAAAAATATCACAATTTCCCATTCTTTGCGGCAAAAAGAAGTTATGCTCGTGTCTCTTCTGTTTGAGTCATGGCTGCATTCAATTGAACAATTGAATTCAAAATTGGTTTTGCTGCTTGGGATATTACAAGGTTGTAACGAGGTTGTAAATATGTGCAATGCTCTCCCTCTCTTGTGATGTAATTGTTTAATGATTGGACAAGCAACGCTATAGTTTGTCCAATTCTCGATTACTCTGGGTGGCTCATAGCAGTCAAAGTACAATAAAACCAATAAAGGATTAAAGAAAGATAAAAGTGGTCCATGCAAATGAAGTTTTACTCTCGCCTGCAAAAGGCTGGGTTCAAGAACCCGGCCTTTGTGTGTTTTCGAGCCAAGAGGAGAGCGGGAGCCATTTAGATCTTGGGGGAAGGAAGCTTGTGCCAGAGATTTAAACCAGAGGCCTTTTGTCCAGCAGTGCTAAGCAAGGTGCCTTGGCTCACAGTATCGATTCTCAGAAATCTCAAACGTTACTTTCTTTTACTGTAAAGAAATTTTTAAAAAGCAAGTTTCTACTCCCCATGACCGTGGAAATAGGTTTGGACCCCTACAGGAAAAGGCTTTGATATTCAGAAGGCCACGTTTCTTTGGAAGGCTGCCCGCTGCCCTTTCCTGAGCTCCAGTTGAGGTCCTTTGCCAAAACGCTCTAGAGCAGAGATCTCCAACCTCGGCCACTTTAAGACTTATGGACTTCAACTCCCGCAAGTCTTTTTTTTTTTGCAATATTTTTTTTTATTTTTATATTTTTAAAACATCTCTTTCAGTGAACAATGTTTTTACACTTCAATACAAACATGACCTTAGTATATATTTATGCTTCACATTCAATTCTATATCATATCATTACTTCCGTCTTCCCATAAATTTTCTCCAATATTCTTGTTTTCTTTACACTTATTAAATCCATTTATATCTTAACTTAATTCCTCTTTCTTTAAATATTCTCACGTCTTGTTTTATAGTCTAATATGCTTATTTTTTTTCTAAATTCATTATACCATTATGCTTTTATCTACCATTTGCAATTTTGTCGCGTACTTCTTCAGTAAGTTTCATCTTAAATCTAATAATTCCAAAAGTTTCCCCCTTTAATTACCAATTAGAGCATACCACCCCTTTGTCTTATACATTCCTCAATTTGTTCCCCTTTAATCCACAATCAAAATTTATCATAAAATAATCACTTTATAATTATCACATTCTGGTTTAATAACAATAATCTCCTAACTACTATATCATTCACATACATACATACATACATACATATATATATATATATATATATATATATATATATATATATATATTTTAAGCTGGATCCCACAAGTCTTAAAAGCGGCCAAGGTTAGAGACCCCTGCTCTAGAGGGTCCCTCTTTTGCTTGTTCGTTGATGTTTCTGCCAGCTACCCACAAGCCCAAACAAGATACAGGTTGTCCTCAAGTTACAACAGGTTGCTTAGCAACCTTTGAAAGTTACGACCAATGACCCAGATTTGAAGTTCTGACAGTCTGGCATGTTTCTTTTTGGGGTCCATTTTGAAAGTCGGGTGGGGTGGGGGAATGGAACTTCTTGATTTGCTGCATAAAATTATCCTCAAATTTATTTGATGCGGTTCAAGACGCACCCTGAGCAGCTTACCACAAGGTAAAATGCATCCCTTTCCTCTCCATCCTTTGAGCGCTGCTCCTAGCTCTCAAAGCAAGCCGTTGCTCGGGCATTAAAACGCTGCCTCTGCCTGCAGCTGGTTCAAAGGCCGCCTCTCTCCATTGGACCAGTGAGCGAGCAGTCAGCATCCTCCTGCTTGGACTCCTGCCAGCAGCCTATCTGTATCCTGGAGCAGCTGTGGATTACTCCCTGGCAGCAACCCTCACACTCCATGGGCACTGGTAAGTCCGCCCCACCCAAATTTGGAAGGGGGGGGGAAACCCCTTTAAAAAAGTAGTGGATAAGACTGGAAAGATCGCTTTTGTTCCCACTTCTGTTTAACCAAACTTCAGTAAGACAAACACATTTTTGTCTGGGGTTGTAATTATTTTCCCTTCTGCCCTACGAAACAATTCTGCTTGGTACCGTCTCGTGGCAATCAGGAAATGCTGTGCTTGAGGAATTTGGGGGTGTCCTCCTCCTTTGGGTAAAGGTGTGTGTGTGTGTGTAAGGGGGAGGAAAAATCTCTGTCGGGCAGCCTCTTTCGGGTCCCCCCTTCAGGCTGCTCCCTGCCCAACGAGCAAGAATTTAGGCCTTGGAAAGAGGAGTTGTTAGGAGAAAAACCTTGCAGGCCAGCCCTTCCCCAGGAGGGTTATTGAACTAACATTCTGTCCTGTGCTAAGTGGGTTCCTGGAAAGGGTCATGTCCTTTTTTGTGGCTGGCAAGAAAGTTTTTGCGCTTCTTGGGAAGTGAGAAAATCACTCCGTTGGATTGTTGCCATGTTTTGAAGCCTGGCCTTACCAAAAAGTGGGTTAAAGGCTTCAAAAACAAGTGGTTTTATGTTTCTGCTTTCCTTCCTCGTGGGTTTCCCTCCCTTGTTTTGGGAAAGCTCTTCTTTCTTTTACAAAAGTAGTTCCCACCCTTGAGAAATCTTTTCTCCCCGCCCAGAAAAATAAAGTTTTTTTTCCTCTTTGGCTCCCTTCGATCATTTTAATTTCCTTGTTTGTGACCCGCATTGGAAGAGGGGCTTTTGGTGTCTTCCTGCCAGGCTGTTCATCTGAGGACTTGGAGGCAGATGGTGTCTTGCGGGCCAACAGGATTTGACCCCCACGGGAGGCTCAGGGCAGCCAGCCCAACCACAAACTGCTTACTCCGAGCATTTCTAACATTCATGTGGAATCTGGCTGCCTGTAGTGAAAAGAGACTTGAGCTTTGCTGGCTGGGGAACTCTCGGAGTTGAAGTCCTGCAGGCTTAAAGTTGCTAAGGTTGGAGACCCCCGTCCTAAAGGAGAACCAAGACAATGTTGGGCTCCATTTTCTAACTCTCATCCTGTCCCCTCCCTCAGTCATTTTCTAGAGGTTAAACGTGACTGGTTTGTCCAATATCCCACATAGGACTTAAGCTTCTAGTCCCCGGTCTTCCTCCTTGTGGCACTTCTCAGCATTCTTTCTACTTCTGCCTGAATCCTCTTTACAGAGCAAACGAACAAAAGAGGGCACAATCCCCGGATTTAAGGACGGTCCCCTCCTGTGATTTAGAAATGCAATCCCAAATGACCTTCTTGTAGATGCCTCGCACAGCTCCCTGGATTTCTGTGCCACTTGCATAATTTCCTTCCCATTCTCGGATGACTGGCACTTACATGTCCTCATTGTTTATATTCATACCGTCTGTTCTTATAGCAGGGAAAATCCCAGCTTTTTTTCAACAAAGGGTTTTTTCCCTGTCCTTAAACTAATTATTTGATATATTTTGGTATTTCCAATCATATAAGTTTATTGGCTGCCCAACAGTCTTGTTCCCCGCTTCAGTGTAACTTTTGCGTGTTGTTTGTTTGTTAAGCCACCTGGGTGACTTTGGGCCAGTTCTAAACCCACCCGCTCACCTCAGCCGACCCACCTGACAGGGTTGTTGTTGGTACTTAGAGGAGAATCCCTCCTCTCCCATCACCATTCAGGCCCTGTAAAAATGCTGAACTCTCAAAGCCCCAAAACAACTCCCTTAATTGAGAAAATAGAATTAGAATAGAATAGAATAGAATAGAATAGAATAGAATAGAATAGAATAACAGAGTTGGAAGGGACCCTGGGGGTCTTCTAGTCCAACCCCTGCTTAGGCAGGAAACCCTATACTACTTCAGACAAATGGTTATCCAATCTCTTTTTAAAATCTTCCAGTGTTGGAGCATTCACAACTTCTGGAGGCAAGTTGTTCCACTGATTAATTGTTCTCACTGTCAGGAAATTCCTCCTTAGTTCTAAGTTGCTTCTCTCCTTGATTAGTTTCCATCCATTATTCCTTGTCCTGCCTTCAGGTGCTTTGGAGAATAGCTTGACTCCCTCTTCTTTGGGGCAGCCCCTCAAATATTGGAATGCTGCTATCATGTCACTCCTAGTCCTTCTTTTCATAAACTAGACATACCCAATTCCAGCAGCCATTCCTTACACGTTTTAGCTGCCAGCCCCCTAATCCTTTTGGTTGCTCTTCTCTGCACTCTTTCTAGAGTCTCAACGTCCTTTTTTTTAAGATCATGGCGACCAAAACTGGATGCAGGATTCCAAGTGTGGCCTTACCAAGCCGTTATAATGGATCAGATAGGGCTGAGTTGGGTGGAAATTGGGGTGCGGCCACATCTGGAGGGCATCAGGCCTCCCTGGAGTTGAGTTAAAGCTTCTGAGAAGTTGTGAACTTTTCAGCCCTCCGTTGAAGGAGTAGGCCAAAATCAAATGAAACAACCTTTGGGGAAGTGGGAATACATTCTTCCACATTGTGGTTTCTCGCGGACGGCTGAGTAATCAGCAAAGCGACTGAGCTAAGCCCATTCTAGCTCGACTCAGTCCAGCTTGAAAAGCTTTGGGAGGATTTGAAAAGTGTGTCCTTCAGCCAGCTTCCTGTTTTTCTTTCTCTCCCTTCCCTGCAGGGGCCTGGGGCAACTTATAACTGACTATGTCCACGGAAAGACCTCCATTAAACTGGCCAACGCTGGCCACTTCCTGCTTTCGGCGGTCACCTTTGCCGGCCTCTGCTACTTCAACTACCACGACGTGGGCATCTGCAGGGCGGTGGCGATGCTGTGGAGCCTCTGATGCCCGCCCACAAGAGTCCAGCAGCCGTTCACCGCTGCCTCTGCTGCTTTACGTTATTAACTGAGTCTTTGGGGGGGGGTGAGAACAACCGAGTGCGTGCCCTGCATGCAGCAGGACGGCTGGTGGGAAGCGCCCGTGGCCATGTCCACGGCTGTTGCCATTCAGAAGATCTCTCGCAAAGGCGAGAAGGAGACCCGAACCAAGCGAGAATCAGGGGAAAGCATCCGGGCAAAAGCTTTGTTATTAGGTTGGGAGCTTCTGCAGATGGGACACCCCCACCCCACCCCCCCAAGACCGCAGGCTGAGCTCAGCATCATTTCACGTTGATATCCCGTCTCGAGTTTCTGGCTGTCTTGTTGCAATGAATGACAGTGTGTACATGGCATCTTGCACAATGCAAAAGGGGAATCTAAACTCTGTACAATAAAGGATTTTTGGAACCCACAGATGTGTGTGAGTCTGAAATCCATTCCGTTGCCTCTGGAGGCGTCAGGTTTTGTGGGGCAGATTTAAGAGCTGCACTTCATTTGGATGATTGAGGAGAGTTGAGGAGGGGGAAAGTACACCCTTCATTTAAATGTCTCACATTGTTAAAAAAAAAAAAAAAGGTTTTGGATATATTTATACCCTGGCCTCTCAAACCAACAGAATGATGAAAAAAAAAAAAGCCTTGATACAAGTTTAAAACTCATTAAAAAAATAGACCACTGGGAGGTTTGGAAAAACCACCCTGTTTACGCACGGACTTGCAGACGTTAAAACCAAGAATGAAAGTTCCTCTTAAAAAAAATCTGATTGTGGTTTAAGTGGAGCATTACAGCTCATTCTGATCCCTTATCAGCGTGAAGGTAAAACGTCTGAAACACAAATCATGTATGCATTTGGGTCACAGAGTTGCCTCTTGCCCAAAGCCAGTCCAGCTTCTGCGCCTCCTTCATGAGGTTGAATTTAGCATAGGCCGGGTACCCGATGACTGATACGGAGCTTAGAAACGATGCCTTTTCCATCGTAAGATCTAGAAACTTGCTTTAGAAATAAAACAGATTTCCAGAATCTGCCAATATGGTTATCCTAAGGTTCACCCTTCTCTTTTCTCTTGTGTTCTCTGATTTCTCCCACCCAAAATTGGTTTGGCTTTTTTGACACCGAGATTGCAACTGGATTGTCTTTTTGCTACAGGCCAGAAAAAAATCTCAATCTTCGTTTAGAAAGAGATTGTGATTTTGACCTTGGCCGTTAGATCTTGGCCTTTCAAGGGAAAAAACCCCCTCTCTTGTCTTTTGGTACCCTTCCTTTGTGTGGAGTGAAGGGTCAGATGGTGGAATGTATGTACAGAGGAGGCTCTGGGGATCAGAGGAAGTGGAGATAGGACCCAGGTATGGATGGAATGGGCATGAGAGTGAGGAATATGAATTCTGAGAAAGCGTTTTCTCTCGTCTTCATTTCTGTGCCTTAAGCAGCCTGGCTCCTTCCTGTCCCTCTCTACAGAAGGAGGGGGAGTTGGGGGTGCTGTCTCACACAAAGATTTAAAACTTTTTACTTTTCTCTGCGGAAGGAGGGGGGTCGCCGAGGGGGGAGCTACCTTGAGCTGCTCTGCAATAGGAAAGGAGTTGGAACCGCACATTCTTAGCGAGGCAGAAATCAGCACCTTAAACCACTAGCCAGGATATTAGGGGCAAGAATAGTTGCTCCACAAACCACATAGCTGACACAGGAAACTAGGACGCTTTGCAAGAGACCCGTGACCTGGGGTGAAACACAGGTGATGCGATATTTAGCTATATAGGGGGCTGAGATCTAAATAACCAATCAATATTAACTGTTATGCATGCACTATTACGGGAAGGGCAAAGGGCCGAATGCGACCACCCCTTGACTATAAAAATTGCTGCAAGATTCTCATCAGGGCCCCTGGTTAGCTTTTGAGCCAGGGTCTTTATATCTTGGTACCAAAATAAAAGCATAATTTTGTACACTTTTGTGTCCGATGACTTTTTGGCTTCGACATCAAGCAAAAGCCCAGTTTTGGGGACAACAGGAGTGATTTTCTGATTGCAATATGGGAGTTTCCCTGCATTTTGAAATGTATTTATAAATAGTGGGCTAAAAGAACATATCATTTGAATAGAGGAAAAAATACAGTTATTAATAAACTTATGCACAGCTAGAATCGGTTATCAAGATGATATATCCAGGATAGTTTTTTAAACAATGGGAAACCTAAACTTTCCAAATCATAGATCTGTGCCAGTGGACAAACTTCTTCGGACCATAATTTCTGTAGCTAAAAGCAGTTGCTAAATGAGTTGCACCCTGTTTTATGACCTACAAAAATACTTGCAAGAAATAACAAAACTTTTGGATTGATTTTTTTAGTTATTATTAAAAATATAACATCTCAATTTAAAAAAAGACTCAGCCTAGATAAAGTTTGAAATGCTGACATTCCATTAGATTTGTCTTGCATTTTTTGTTTGGCTATTGTCTAGTTTTTTAATTTCTTTTTTGGTAATTGATTGAGATTCCTTGCAAAGCCGTGGATATCTGGGTGGCTTTTCTAGTGCAATTATTTATCCCACCCAATTTTAGATACTGTTAATTAGACAAATCCACGGATCAGTTTTCCAAATATTTAGCAGGGAAAGTGAGCAATTGTATAATATGTTCTAGAGGCTAAATCAACCATTCCTTTACACTACATTTTACTTGGGTTTCCTTGTCAGAGGAGCGTAGCGTGGTGGAGCTTGGTGGATTCATCCACTTCATCTGCTGGTTCTACCTTCTTGACCACCAGGACGGTCTCAGAGCTACCTTTGACACTCTCAAAGGCCAGGAAATAGCCACGTTCCAGAGCAGATTCGAACTTGTAAAATTGCCGGCTGCCACCCGAAAACCGTGTTTTGATAAAGATGATGTTGCTGGTGTCTCCTTCGATGTTTTTGGGAATTGTCCCTTCCTGAAATGGAGACCAAACAACCCTGAAAGGGATCCCCAGGAAGAGGCACTTACTAGAAAGACCCCTAGCCCCCTAGGACGTCCCACCCACCCGCCCCTTGTGAAAGGTCTCAAAGAGAGCCCAGGATTGAGCTAAAGAGCTGACTGGCTGCTGTAGTTGTTCAATGAGAGAGAAGCTGCTTTCTATTTAAATCAATTCTGCACTTTTGTTAATTTAGTTTTGTTCTAAAAGGTGCTTTGTTCAAAAGGCAACTAGACTTTGTTTTTTCTTGAAGAAGTTTCACTTCTCATCCAAGAAACTTCAGTTCAGTTCTGAAGAAGCTTCTTGGATGAGAAGTGAAACGTCTTCACGGGGAAACGAAGTCCAGCTGCCTTTTGAGAAAGCACCTTTGGGACAAGGTCATGACCTGGATGACTGAGAATCTCAATAGACGTTTAATTTAGCTTTGTTTTAAACCACATCCACGCAACCAATTTGGGCCTCTTATATTCCTAGTGGGTGGACGGACAATTAATTCGGAGGAACTAGAACAGTGACCCATCAGCCAGTATCCACTAAGCAAGATTTCCACTTTATTTGCAGAAATTGTTTGGTTAGAGTAATCCAGAATTCACCCGGTGCATGATCCGAACTCTTAACCGTAATGAATATGAACTATAGTTTGGCACTACCTCTGAGTCAGTCTTAATAAACATGATAAGAACGTCCTTATATAAGATTAAAGTCTATTTAATTCTTTTTAAACTCAGGTTTTGCAGATGCATCCAAGCTATCTGAGAACTTTTTAAGAACTGGCTATCTTAAGAAACACAGTCCTCTCTCTCTTTCTTTGCTGTAACCAAGGCTAGCAGTGAAATTATAGTCAGGCTATAATCTTCCTTTCTTTTTTTTTTGCATTCTGGACAAAGGAGATTATCAATGTTGCAATTCAGAAAAGATAAATACGCTGTTTTAAACAGTTAACGGGGTGTCATGAAGGTGTTTCTGAATAATTTCTGTACAGATAGTCCTCAACTCAAAACAGTTCATTTAGTGACCATTTGAAGTTAATGGCACTAAAAAAAGTGACTTATGGTCACTTTTTTTCACACTTACGACTGATCATGGGACAAAATGTATTTAACGAATGCCTTGCTTCGCAACAGAAATTTTGGGCTCAATTGTGATACCGTAGTAAGCCGAGGACACCCTGTATAGCTGTAGCGTTTTTATTTTTAAAACAATTTATAGCAAGGACTGTAGCCAGCCTCGGGAAGCAAAGTCAGCAATAATTATACCATCCAGATAAGGAACATCTAAGATAACAATAAACAATGAAAACCAGTCAATTAGCCTCTCAGCCCAACTCCAATTAACAGTAGCGTACCTTAAAATTCACCCTCATTTTGCTTTCCTTTTTCTCCACACACATGTGGTAAATCTGGTTGTTAAATTCCACTGTGAAGGCCACACACAGTCCCTTTGGCTTGGTGTCTTGGTAACTGTGGATGTCAAATCTGATTCCTGATACTGCAGGTAAGAGAGCAAGATGTTAGAACAGAATAGAATGGAATGGAAATGTAAATAAAATAGAATAATAACTTTATTGTCACTTTGAATGTACACTGATCGGCATACATTGAAATGAAATTTTGTTGCATTTCAGCTCTCAAAGAGTCTCCACCTCCAATATACACTACATAAACATGACAAAATAAGTAAATAAATAAATATAAAATTATACATGTACCCACATATATTATGTGACACAGAGAAACAACACAGTCTAGTTTGGATGTATATATATGTACATGGCGAAAAATATAAATCTTGCGAGTTTTCCAGACGGATGGCACAAGGGAACAAAAGCTGTTCCAGAATCTGGTAGTCCTGCTAGAAATAGAAAGGTTGGATTTCTTCTTGTGAGGGTCTAGCAGTAGATAAAATAACCTCAAACTTGGCTATCGCTTTTTCCTGTGGTTGTCTGTAAGGAAGGTTTCTTCCAAAATTACTCAGTGCACGCATCAGGCAATCTTAAAAGCTCAGTGCAGTTTTTTTAAAAAAATCATTTGACTAGAGGGCTTGTTAAGACTTGCCATAAATGATCAGAAAATGACTGGAAGAAGGCAACCCATAAAATTTCAAAAAATTTTGTGGCTCATTTCGATATTAGGAATTGCCTTGACAATCTATGAGAAAACAGGTTTCACTCAGGAACCCTGCCTGTTCCAGTAATATAGTCTTATGATGCATAAAAAAATAATTTCCTAATATAATTCTTTATCCCCATCTGATTCTCAGTCCTGATTGCAACCTGCTTCTCCTCTTCTCCAAGTTCTTTTCCTGGGGCATGAAACAGGAGAAAAACAATGAAAATAGAGTGAGACCCTTTTAATTTGTTCAGACATTCGGAGGTGCAAAACCACTACTGTACCGTTCCTAATTTCCTGGTCTGTTCTGCGTTCAAATACCGCAGGGAAATCTTCGTCAATTGGGCGTGCTATGAGGATGTGATTATTAGGACTTCTGAAGACTTGGGCAGGTTCACATTTTCCTGACATTCTCCAGCTGTCTGTTTCTAAAACTTAGAAGAAGATGATAAATCTGATGTCAGAACAGGGAGCACATTATCTCTTCTAGAATGTATCTGAACACTATTTTTTTAAAAAAATATAAATATATACTGTATATAGCAATAACACTTAGACTTATATACAGTTTCACAGTGCTTTACAGTCCGCTCTAAGCAGTTTACAGAGTTAGCATCTTTCCCCCAATATGTAATGTATATTAATAGATAATAGATAATCAGAGTTGGAAGGGACCTTGTAGGTCATCTAGTCCAACCCCCTGCCCAAGCAGGAGACCCTACACCATTTCTGACAAACGGCAGTCCAATCTCTTCTTGAAAGTCTCAAGTGATGAAGCTCCCACAACTTCTGAAGGCAATTTCTGTTCCATTGGTTGATTGTTCTCACTGTCAGAAAATTCCTCCTTGTTTCCAGGTTAAATCTCTCCTTGTTCAGTATCCATTATTCCTTGTCTGACCTTCAGGTGTTTTGGAGAATAGCTTGACTCCCTCCTCCTCTCTGGGGCAGCCCCTCAAATATTGGAAGACTGCTATCCTGTCTCCCCTGATCCTTCTCTTCACTAGACTAGTCAAGCCCAGTTCCTGCAACCGTTCATTGTATGTTTTAGCCTCCAGTCCCCTAATCATCCTGGTTGCTCTTCTCTGCACTCTGCACAGTCTCAAGAGTATAACACACACATACACACACCGTAACTTCTTTCTTTATCTTTGAAAAGAATCATATTTTAAATAGGAAAAAATGCAGAGAAGAAATCAAATATCTTATATCACCAAATTAAATCATAATTTGGTGACCTTATACATTTCAATGAGTCTGTAATTTTTTATAGTGAAGCAATTAAAAATGGAGAAAGGTCTTTGCAGTTCATGAAATTAACTTAAAGATCCCCCATTCAGTAAAGCCATAATAGAAGCAAGCATGTAAAGTAAATATATTGTTTGGATGTACAGATTGGGCACAGAGTCCCATTCGGCTTTTTGGCCTGTTTCTAATAGTTTCTCTTGATTTTTAAGCAGCCGTTTACATCCAGTCTTTGACGTCATATTAAATCCAGAATGAATTTTAATTCAATCCTGACAATTCACTGATTTGCTTTCTTTTGTTCTCCTCGCTGTATGAATAATCCATATTAATAAATAATCCACACTATAATCACATTGCACCCTGATGTTAAGGTTGATTAGTAAAACGTGTGATTCTCCCCAATGAATAATTACAAAATTGCAGATAAAAGCTGATGGGGGGGCGGAACGGCTGCGCACATTTTGTCGTTTCATTATGGAGTTGATACTATGATACATGCTATGATATGTCTGCAAACTTGGCCACTTTAAGACTTGTAGACTTCAACTCTTGGCTGGGGAATTCTGGGAATTGAAGCCCGCAAGTCTTAAAATGGCCCCATTTGCAGATACCCCCTGCTACAGTGCTAACCTTATGAAATAGCCATTAGAAAGAAAAGTGGCACATTTTTTTTTTTTAAAGCCAGCGTTTCAGGTTCAGAGAGGCGTTTGCACTGCTTACCTTGTGCTTTGTTTCAGCAGCAGCAGCAGCAGCAGGCAAGAGGGAGAGAAAGAAAATATGATAATCATTATCTAAATCCAGGCAGAGGATCATCCTGCCCTCCCATTCTCTGCTGCCGGGAATAAAATGGGGTCCGCAGCTGTAGGCTTCCTTCCTTCCTTCCTTCCTCAGTGCCGGCGGCTCTGGCTCTAGAGAAATTCCCCGGCTGGAGCTGGGAGAGTTGCAAAGAGCCTCACCCTGCAGGCGGGAATTCTTTTGTGGCTGCAGACTGTGGTGCCCGCAGGCAGAGCTTCCTCATGGCAGGGCAGGAGCAAGCCCTGGGCTCAGCGGGGAAATCCCCCCCCCCCCCCCACCCCCATCCAAGGGGGGAAAGAGAGCAGCCAGGTGGCCTGTTGGAGGCCCCCCAAGAATTACCTTGGAAATAGAGGTTGCCACCTTGGTCCAAAATCACCGGCAGCATCTGGATCATATCGCTGCCCATCTTTGCTCTCTGGGGAAGAAGGAGGAGATCTTAAGGACTTCGTCTTATTTGATGGATTCGCTCAATGGGAATTGAATAGGTTTTATTTGGCGCCTGGGCGGCGAGGAGGAGGAGGAGGAGGCGGCGGCGGCGAGGGGCAGAAGCCCAGAGCTTCCTGCTGGCCATCTCCAGGCGTGGCACCCTGGCATGCCGCGCTCCAGCTCCTCCCGCCTGCCCAGGGGATGCTGGCAAACCGGTTCTCCGGGTAGGGCTGGGATGCTTCCCGCGCTCGCCGCTCGCCCCCTCGCCGGGCAGCGGGGCAGAGCTGGGAGGAGGGCTCGGGCTGCCCGGGGGTCCCCCGCTGCCTGCCCGGGGATGGGATGGGTGGGCGCCGCCGCAGCCCTCCGCCCCGCGGCCCCTCCGCTTCCCCGGCCGAGGAACCCACCTGCCTGCGCGGCGTCCGGAGCTGGGAGTGCGGGCGGGGAGCGGCGGAGACGGCCGGGAAGCGCGGGCGCCCCGCCTCTGCCCGTCCCCCTGGCCCCGAAGGGCGACCCGCCCAGGGCTTTCCCCGAGGGCGAGGACGGGGACCGCGACGCGGCCGCTCCTTTCCCACGCCCGGCCCGGGATGCTGGCTTGGCTGGGGCGCAGAGCTCCGCGGGGAGAGACGGCGCTCGGCTCGGCGGAGACGGGCAGCGCCCAGAGTCCTTTCTGCAGCCCCGGGAAACACCCCCCGCCCCGAATAAGCGCGGGGAGAAGGGGGGGGGGGGGGGGCCAGCCCTGTCCGAAAATCAGCCGGGGGGGGGGGAGGGAGGAGGAGGAGGAAGAGCGAGGGCTCAGCTCCTGCAAGAAGAAGAAGAAGAAGAAGAAGAAGATGGGGGCGAGCCGAGCTGGACCCCCAGCGCTGCCCCGGCCCCGGGCTCTGGCAGGACCCAGGCTGACAGGTGCATCCATGCCCCGAGGGAGGCGAGGGTGGGGCGGGGACGCAGCAGAGAAAGCCAGGAAAACCCAGCCCGCCCCCCCCCCCGCCCCCCAGGAGTGCCTTGCGAGGGAAGCCGTGCCGGGGAAGGCGCTTCCTCCTGGTTGGGCTAGTAGTTCCTCCACCTGGGAGGGAGGGAGGGAGGGAGGTGTGTGTGGGTGTGTGTGTGTGTGGAAACCAAGGGGTCGAGGCGGAGGGGCGCGCACTCCAGGATGGCGGGGTGGGGGTGCTGGTTGCTCCTTCCTTGACAGGGGGGAGGGGGGGAGAAGGGAAGCGGGTGGGGCTGGGCCGACCCCCCCCCCAGTGGCATCTTTAAGACCCGTGGGCCTCCCGGGATCGGCCCGGCCAACCTGGGGGCTTGGGGGCTTCTGGGGTTTGAAGTCCACAGGTCTTAAAGTTGCTCTACCGAGTCCAAAGGAGGAATTGGCAGGAAGGGAGGGAAGGCTGTGATGGGCAGGTTTCCCCTCCAGGGGGAAGACTTGCACCCCGAATCAGAGGGCTGTACCTTTAGAAGACACACACACACACCACACACACACACACACACACACACACACACACACACACCTGCCTTAAGTTCAGTATAGGGGAGTAACGGCTTGCCTGGGATGGGACGTTTATTTCCTTTAAGGTAACACTTGAGTTTCTATTTGTGGGAAGTCTTGGGTGTCCCTTAGAAAACAGCTTTGCCCATCTGAATGTACAGATGGATCAGAGCAGAGCCTGCTTAAAGCCCCCGGCGCGCACTACGCTTTCTAAATTTGGTGGCAGAAAATGTGCAAGTAAATAACCCACCCCCCAAAAAAGAGAGTTTGGAATGGCACAGATTCCCTCTCTGAGGGACCCCAAGGGAGAAAGCACTGTTCTGCCCACAAAGGCGCCTGTCTGTTTCATTCCTGCAAACGCCACCTTCTCCAGGAATGCAAGGACCCCATCGTCCTACCTAGCCTTTCTTAAATACCTGGTTCTGGATTTAGACCCCATACTTTATTTTACAGCCTGCTCAAACTCTTTTTTTTTTCTCCTGACTCTCTGGTTGAGTAATATCAGTGGAATCGTACTAGGTTGTTTTGCTTTAAAGTATTGTGACACTTGAACCTATTTTGACTTCTGTATTTTGTGATTTCCCATTCTTCTGACACATTTCTTTCCGGCAGGGTTGCTTTGCCTCTTTTCCTGAATGCAGGGTGGTGCGGCTGACCCTCTACCACTAGGGTCCTTGTGAAATAATTTGGAAAACTCTTCTAGATCTTTCCTTGCCCCATAAGCCTCTTAAAGACCACTTGGGCTGGTGGCAGGGAGGTTAATAAACTGTTATGGGTCCCAGGGGCCGGTAACAGCTACTCACAGCTTGCTGCCTTGGCAAAACGGGACCAGGAGCCCTTGGTAGTGCCTGAGTAGAGGTCTTCTTTTGAGTGGAGATCTGGGGGGAGGGAAGAGGTGTGGAGCAGGGCTGAAACGCCTTGGTGTACCCAACTGGTTGCCCTCCAAGGAAGATCTCCATCTCCCTATAGACCTTGGGTTCTCATTAGAGTTTCAGGCCTGATTCGTAGCATTTTAAGAAAGGCAATAAGAACATTTTAGCATGGCATCCGTGCCTCCTTTGTAACTTTAGAAAACTGAACTTTGGGCTGAATCTTTTCCATTCAACCAAAGCCGTTTTCCTTTGACGTCCAAAAAAATCCCCCCAGCCTTTTCAGCGATCAGATCTTAGGGTGGAAATTCTGATGTCCTTAGATTGCAAGCATTGAAGAAACAAACCCAGAGAGGGAAAGGAAGAGAGGCAACATATTTATAGCATGTCTGTCCTTTTGCGTACAAACCATGTCAAGGTCTTCTATTATTTGGTGTGTGGCTTTCTGACACATCGCAAAAAGACTCAATGTGAAACCTTCCAACTCTGGGATTTTAAAAGACTTGTTTGGTGCAAGAGCTGTGGCACCAAACTCTTAATCAGGATTAAGCCTGACCAAGATCAGCACCTGCCCTGGGATTCTCCAGGATCGAAAGCCGGCATAAGGGTTGCTTCCCCACATGAGAGACCTCTCCTGCTTCTAAGACTCCTTAAGTCAAAGTTTCTCAACCTTGGGCACTTTAAAGAGGGGGGTGAGGGCCACAGAGGATGGACTTCGTAATACTTGAAACATGGTTTTTGTAATACTGGCTAATTACCATGGTTTTTCTGGTATTTTAAATTTGCTTTTTTGATTGTATTGCTAATAATTTCCCATTAGCCTTAACCTTCAAGAAAAAGCCTCTCTTTCAGGAACCAGGACTGGCAGGAGAGCATTCAATACATGGCAGATAACAGTTTTGTTTTTAGCTGCTAAACAAAGAAAATAGTCAAGCCACCCTTGAGAAGCACTGAGAATGTATATTACCAGATTAATGTTTTTCCTTTGCAAATGTTACTTTTGTTGTTAGTCAGAACACAATGCTCTTTTCTATGACTAAGCTGTAATTCTTGTTGATGTAACTGAACAGATGACTATTTCTAAACCAATCAAACTTTTTGCTTTGAAGTTCTTTGTTGCACTAACTCTAAAAGTGAATATAATCCCTTTCTCAGGGTTCCCCCTTTTCATAGGGAGAATACATTTACTCTAATAAATTGCTTTTAAATGCTCTTCCAACCTGGTTGCTTATTGGAAGAGATAAACCAAGGTATGGCCAGATCAACTAATGAACTTACCCTTGTTCACTAGAGAATTGAAAGGAAACAAATCAACACTCACCAAATTTCTTTTGAACAAACTTCATCTGGATGGACGACTGTTCTGTCTCCTTCAGGGCCCCTATAATGAATGATCTTCCTTTTGCATCACTGGCTGCAGTTTCCTAAACCTCAGATAAAAATCACAGAGTAAAAAGAAATCAGTTTGAAGCTTTTCCATTGATAGTAATCTGCAGTACAAAAGAGAACTGGCTGAAGATTCGGCTGACTCACCAATTTTGATGGACAAATCTGGCCCTCAGTTCTACCTCGGTTTGACAACAGCTAAAAGCGAAACTCTTATCTGGAATGTGTTGAATGCTCTCCTCCCAGCCCTGGTTCCAGAAAGAGAGGCTTTTTCCTTGAAAGTTAAGTTTGGGGAAATTAGAAATAGAATGAATGAGCTGGAAGTTAGTTTGCTTTATTGTCATTGCATCTTGTGCAATGAAATTAAATGCCATCTTCAGTGTACACTATAACTATAAAATTAAAACACAAACACACATCCTTTGCATTCTATACAATTGAATTGAAAACCCCTGATATTGCATTAATATTGCCCCACAGTAGAATTCAATAGAGTTCCTGCCCTGGGATAGAACCTGTTTTTCAGCCTATTTGTCCTTGTTTTTATTATCCTGTAGGGTATGTCAGATGGTAATAGTTCAAAAAAAAAAAAAAGGGTGAGGCCAGGATGAGATGGATCTTTGAGAATGTTTTGAACTTTCTTAAGGCAGCGGGAGCTATAAAGCTCTTCCAAAGAGGGGAGAGGGCAACCCATGATCCTCTGGGCAATGACGTTAACCCTCTGGAGCACTGCCCTATCTGCCACTGTGCAATTGGCAGATAGGGCCATTTTTTTCCTTTCTCCAAAAGTTTTTTATTTTTTATTTACAATAAATCCATCTTTCATTTAAACGGTGTGTTGACTGGGTACATATATCTTGTGCTAACAATTATAGTTAGTACTTTTCTTACCAATATAACAATAATCACATTTCCTTTATCAGTCCTTGTCTCTTACATCTGTTATCTCTGTAACAATCTTCACTTATTTCTTTAGGACCTAGAGGTCTTCTAGTCCACCCCCCCCGCCCTGCTCAAGCAGGAGAACCTATACCAGGGGTCAGGGAACTTTTTTACCTCTTAAACCCCCAAAAATTTATAAACGCAGGCGTTACCCCTCCCGGCCTCTCCCCCTCCCCAGCCACCTCAGGCTGCTGACACATAATTTGGAGGTCGAGGCGGGAGGAGGTGCCCCCCCCCCCCCCCCCCGCGGCTGGGAAGAAGGCGGGATAGCTCGCTCCAGGGAATGAAATGTCACCAGGCTCCCCGAGGGCTTCTGGGAATTTTCTCAGGGCCAAGGCGGCAGTTGCAGGTGCCTCTTCGCTTCCTGTGTGCCTGGCAGTGATGAGAGGCTTCGGGGAGGGAGCCGGGCTGGCTGGCTAGTTGGCAGGCAGGCAGGGCCTGGGGGCGAGGAAGCGGGAAGGGAGGATGATATTTGGGAGCCACGGTGACACAAACTGCGCACGAAAAGCGTGCGGTCATCGCAGCGCGGGGGAAAGCGTCCCTTTTCCCAAAATGCTCTGCCCTATGCCAGAAGCTCGCCTTCCCCTAAAAAACGGGCGGCGCGGCTCTTGCAGAATCTAGCCTGGAGTCATTTCCGACCCAGGAAACAAGGGTGGGGTGGAGGGGATAAATTTGCCTCAAGGGTGTTTTAATAACTGCTGCTATGCCGATAGTTCCGCCATTGGCCAGCGCAACCTCCTCATTACCCCCAGATTTTCACTTTTACCCCATTTGGGGTAATTTACCCCTGTTCCCTGACCACTGACCTATA